TGTCTGTAAGTGTGTGCATTGAGTGTGTGTAAAAAATGCATTGTGTTTCTGCGTGCATGTAAGAGAAGCAGTGTGTGTGTTTGCATGTGTGTGTAAGGGATGCATTGTTTGTTTCTGTGTATGTGTGCAAAGGATGCATTGTCTTTGTGTGTAAGGGTTGCATTGTGTGTGTGTGTAATGGATGCATTGTGTGTGTCTCTGTGTATAAGGAAAGCATGTTGTCTTTCTGTGTGTGTATGGATTCATTGTGTGTTTCTGTGTATGTATAGGAATGCATTGTGTGTGTGTGCCCGTAGTGTGAAAGAGCTCCCTGTCCTGCCCCCTGTCCTATAGAGCTCTCTCTTCTGTCCCTTAGAGCTTTTCCCTGCCCTTTAGTGGTCTCACCTCACCCCACCCACCCTCCCTACCTGTGTTCTTCTAACCCGCCACCATCCCTGTGTTCTTCTCACTCCCCCCGTGTTCTTCTCACCTCCCCCTCCCTGTGTCTTCCTCACATCCCCCCGTCTGTGTTCTCCTCACCTCCCTTTCTCCACACCCCCTCTCCCTGTGTTCTTCACTCACACCCCCCCTGTGTTCTTCTCACTGCCCCTCCCTGTGTTATTCTCACTCCCCCCTGTGTTATTCTCACTCCTCCCCTCCCTGTGTTCTTCTCACCTCCCCGTGTTCTCCTCATCTTTCCTTCTCCTCACCCCCCTCTCTGTGTTCTTCTTACTCCCCCACCTTCCTCCCTGTCTTCTTCTTACTCCTCCCTCCCTGTGTTCTTCTTACTCATCCCTCCCCTCTTCTTCTTACTTCCCCTTCTTCTTACTTCCCCCTCCCTCTTCTTCTTACTCCCCTCTTTTCTTACTCCCCTTCCGTTACTCATCCCCTCCCACTCTTCTTACTCCTCCCTCCCCTCTTCTTACTCCCCTCTCCTCTTCTTACTCCCCCTCCTCTTCTCCCTCTCCCCTTCTTCTTATTCTCCCTTCCCCTTGTTATTCTCCCTCCCCTTCTTACTCCCCACTCTTCTTCTTACTACCCCCTCCCCTCTTCTTACCCCCTATTCTTCTTAATCACCCCTCCCCTGTTTTCTTCATACTCCCCTTCCCTCTTCTTCTTACTCCCCTCCTTCTTCTTACTCCACCCCTCCCCAGTTCTTCTTTCCCCCCCCTGTTCTCCTCACCTCCCCTTTCCTGTAGAGTGGTCGAGCTACTCTCCGGTCCGCGGTACAGGAGTCAGTGGTGTATTTTAGATTTGTGCTGCCCTAGGCACAACTAAATTCGGGCACCCCCAAAATCAAAATTTGCCCCCCAATTCGTGTCAAGGCCATTATTTTGACTGACAGACACATGCCCTCATTGATACATGCACTGATATACACTCTCTGACAGATACACAGTCATTGGCACACACATACAGTCTTTGGCCCACACTGTTTAACCAACACACACTTTCACTGAGAGACACACACTGACACACCCACTCACTGACAGGTACACACTCTCAGATACACATAATATGACATACACACACTGACACACACTCACAGACACACACTGACACCTACGCTCACTCACTCACAGTAAGGTGGACAGCCCCAGAACACGAGGCAAACAAGGCATTTGTCTGGGAGCTTGGGGTGGCATTTTTTGGCGCCCCTCCCCTAAAAGTGCTGCCCTAGGCAAATGCCCTGTTTGACTTGTGGTAAATACATCCCTGACAGGACTTTCTGTTTCCTGTACCTGGACGAACTGACAGGAAGTGTACACTGAGTGTGCACTTCCTATCAGTCCGGCCAGGTCGCGGACCGGAGAAGAGCTCGGCCATGCTACAGGGAAGGGGAGGTGAGGAGAGAGGCAGTGGGGCAGCATTTAAAGGGCTGGAGATGGGGCGCAGGGCGCCCCCTCCTATATGGCGCCGTAGGCGACTGCCTAGTTCACCTTATAGGAAGCGCCGGCCCTGCACGCTGCATTGGGGCAGTAATTGCTGCAAAAGGGGCCCAAACCAAGTACTGAGTCCATATGCATGCTTATACTTTTCAGAGGTCCGATATTGTTCTATGTACACTCCTTTTTATTGATTGCATGTAATATTCTAATTTACTGAGATTGTGGATTTGGGGTTTTCATGAGCTGTAAGCAATAATCATCTCACTTATGACGGCTTGAACTATCTTGCTTTGCATGTAATGCGTCTATCTCATATATTAGTTTCCCCTTTTACGTTGCATTACTGAAATAAATTAACTTTTGCACGATATTCTAATTTTCCGAGTATCACCTGTATATATATATATAGATATATATATATACATATATATATATATATATAGTTATTATATATAATATATATATATATATATACATGTGTAATTTAATTTATTAATATAAAAATACACTTAGTATGACATTTTATATATATATAGACATAGCAGAAATGACCGCACTCCAAGGACTTGGTAGAGATTTTCAAATAAAATTTAACTTTTATTCAATCCATTTAAAAAGTCAACATTTCAGCTTTCATCAGGACAAAACAAGACAAGTTGAGGCAGTCCATCTGCAGGCAGCACTATGGACGCCTATTGCGGCAATGTGATCGCTCTTTTAGAGCAATCACAAGGCCTGTGTGGGCCTAATTTGCAGAGGGGTGACTGTCTGGGCTGTCATGCAGTCCCCCCAGACCGGGAGCAGCACTGATCACCATCGGGGGAACGGCGGCGATCGGGTAAGTAATAGATTTGCCGTGGACAGTACTTAGGGACCGTTTTTGTCAACTGTTCATAGTACCTCCGCAGTCTTTGGACGCGGAGAAAGCATTTGATAGAATCCATTGGGACTCTATGTGGCGATTTGGCTTACCAGAACCCTACATCAGAGCAGTGGTTGCTCTTTATTGCTCTCCAACAGCAAAGATCTCCACTACAGGATTTACATCGGATAGCTTTGCACTGTCTAACAGGACCAGACAGGGGTGCCCATTGTCGCCGCTTCTCTTTGTGCTAGCAATGGAATCCTTGGCTGAAATGATTCTCAATTGTACTGAGATAGAAGGCATTGCAGTTGGGGGCAAAGAACATAAGATTGGTCTTTCTGCGGATGGCATAATGCTGTCTTTGAAGAATCCTATGTCCTCGATTTCGCCTATAATGTCAATCCTGCACGAATTCGATGAAATTTCTTACTATAAATTAAATACAAGTAAAACAAAAGTCCTTGCTTTCTTTGTCACGTGGTTTGAATTGGATACTCTAAGAAATAATTTCAAGTTTCACTGGAGGGACTCTTACATCTCTTACTTAGGTATCAACTTATGCCAGAACTTGTGGAAGATGCATGATTATAACCTGGGTATGTTCTGGTCCGCTTTTATAAAAGACTTGGAGTGGTGGTGTGATCTCGAAATCTCCTGAATAGGAAGACTAAATTCTGTTAAAATGAATGTACTTCTGAAAATGTTGTATTTTATCAGAGCTATCCCCCTCAGTATTCCTTTATTGTTTTTTTAAAGAAAGGTTCATTCTGCCCTTTTGATGTTTTTATGTAATAAAAAAACAAGTAGAATCAAGCTGGCTATATTGCAAAAGCCCAGGGTTAGTGGAGGTATAGGTTTGCCAGCTTTCATTCATTATTTCCACGCTACCAATGCCACAGCTGCCATCAAATTTAATCAAGCTCACACTGGCTTGAGATGGAGGCAGCCAAGATTCTTCCACATTTCTTAACCCCTTAGTGACCAGAATGCCTTTCAATTGTCTTACCGTTTCGTACCAGGGCTGTTTTTAAATTTCTGCTGTGTTTGTGTTTAGCTGTAATTTTCCTCTTACTCATTTACTGTACCCACACATATTATATACCGTTTTTCTCGCTATTAAATGGTCTTTCTAAACATACCATTATTCTCATCATATCATATAATTTACTATTAAAACAACTATAAAATATGATGAAAATTTTTTAAAAAACACACTTTTTCTAAATTTGACTCCCAAAATCTGTTGCACATCTACAACTGCCCAAAAACACCCATGATAAATAGTTTCAAAATTTTGTCTTGATTTTAGAAATACCCAATGTTAACATGTTCTTTTTTTGCAAGTTATAGAGCAATAAGTACAAGTAGCACTTGGCTATTTCCAAACCATTTTTTTTCAAAATGAACACAATTTACATTGTAATACTGATATATTTCAGGAATCCCTGAATAAACCTTCATATGTATATATTTTTTAAAAGAAGACAACCTAAGGTATTAAACTTGGGATATTTTGTCTCTTTTCATGCAATCATTTTACCACCAATCTATGCCAAATTAAAAAAAAAAAATTGGTGAGTTTTATGACACACATTGCAATTTACCAATACATGTACTGAGAACTTTAAGGGTTACTGCCAAAGAACATCCCAATATGTGTTCAGCAACATCTCCCGAGTACAGTGATACCACTCATGTATAGGTGTGTCAGGTTCTCTGGGGGCTTAAAGACCTTATTTGGAGGGTGCACATTCCAGTTTTCCAACTTGTAACTTTCACAGCTGGTCATCATGCACCCATGTCCTATTTGGGACATTTCTGAAGCTGGCCAATGTAATTTACCACCATCAAAACATATATTTTTGTAAAAGGAGACACCCTAGGGTATTTCAAATGGTGGTATTGGGTAGTCATTTTTGTGTTATTTTTCTCTCACATTGTACTTTAGGCATGGATTCTCAGTTCCTGTTATGTGTTACTGACAAAGAATACCCCAATATGTGTTCAGCAACATCTCATGAGTACAACAGTGCTCCCAATGCACAGGTTTTATGGGTTTTGCACTTACAGTGGTCATTTTCCATGTTTGCACATTGAAATTTGCCAGATTGGTTTGCTGAGCCAATGTTGCCATTGAGACCATATAGCCAGGGCCGCTATCAGGGGGTGACAACCATGACAACCACTTTCCCTCTCTGCACACATAGATAGCGAATATCGCTATCTATGTGTGCAGCCGCGGGCCCCCTGGCTCCCTGTTACCGCAGAGGGGGCCCAGCACACAGCTTCTACTCTTCTCTTCGCCTCTTCTAATAACTCTCGCGAGACCTGCGGCCTTCTGAGCGTTGCCATACTCTCGCGAGAGTAATTGGAAGAGAGGAGAAGAGAAGAGTAGAAGCTGTGTGCTGGGCCCCCTCTGCGGTAACAGGGAGCCGGGGTGGGGGGGTCAATGCCACTGGACCACCAGGGATGGAATCTCCCCCTCCCTGGACACAGGTAAGAAGTAGGGAAGGGGGAGAAACATTTAATTAAATTAATATAAAATGAGTGTGAAAATGCCCCTTCCTCCCCCCCCCACCCCCAGATTGCACAGTTACACACACACACTGCATACACTAATACAACATACACACTACATACACTCATACAACACACACATTGCATACACTCATACAACACACACACACACTGCATACACTAACACAACACACACACTGCATACACTAATACAACACACACACTGCATACACTAATATAACACACACACACTACATACACTCATACAACACACACACACTGCATACACTCATACAACACACACACACACACACACTGCATACACTAACACAACACACACTGCATACACTAATACAACACACACACTGTATACACTTATACAACACACACGCTGCATACACTAATACAACACACACACTGAATACACTAACACAACACACAAACACACTGCATACACTAATAAAACACACACACTGTATACACTAATACAACACATGCACTGCATAAACCAATACAACACACACACACTGCATACACTAACACAACACACACACACACACTGCATACACTAATACAACACACACTGAATACACAAATACAACACACACACTGCATACACTAATACAACAGACACTCTGCATACACTAATACAACACACACACTGCATACACTAACACAACACACACAAACACTGCATACACTAATACAACAGACACTCTGCATACACTAATACAACACACACACTGCATACACCAATACAACACACACGCCGCATACACTAATACAACACACACTCTGCATACACTACCCTGACACACACTCTTCATACACTAGTACAACACACACTCTTCATTCACTACACTAACACACACTCTGCATTCAGTACACACTAATACACTCTGCATTTACTACACTAACACACACTCTGCATTCACTACAATGACACACTCTCTGCATACACTACACATTAACACACTCTCTACATTCACTACCATAACACACACTCTGCATTAACTGTACACACAGCATCCACTACACAAACATCCTGTATTCACAGTACACACACTACATCCACCACAGATTGAAACACTCTGCATTCACTATACACAGACACTGCGTCTAATACACACACTACATCCACTACAGACACTGCATCCACTAAACACATTTCATCTAGTACACACAAACACTACATCTACACAAACACACACTACCTCACTGTACACACACTACATCCACTACTCAAACACACTCTGTGTTCACTATACACACTGCATCCGCTACACAAACACACACTCTGCATTCACTGCACAAACAGTATCTAATACACACAAACACTACATCCATTACACACATTCTAATTTACTTCCACTACAGGGAGTGCAGAATTATTAGGCAAGTTGTATTTTTGAGGATTAATTTTATTATTGAACAACAACCATGTTCTCAATGAACCCAAAAAACTCATTAATATCAAAGCTGAATATTTTTGGAAGTAGTTTTTAGTTTGTTTTTAGTTATAGCTATGTTAGGGGGATATCTGTGTGTGCAGGTGACTAGTACTGTGCATAATTATTAGGCAACTTAACAAAAAACAAATATATACCCATTTCAATTATTTATTATTACCAGTGAAACCAATATAACATCTCAACATTCACAAATATACATTTCTGACATTCAAAAACAAAACAAAAACAAATCAGTGACCAATATAGCCACCTTTCTTTGCAAGGACACTCAAAAGCCTGCCATCCATAGATTCTGTCAGTGTTTTGATCTGTTCACCATCAACATTGCGTGCAGCAGCAACCACAGCCTCCCAGACACTGTTCAGAGAGGTGTACTGTTTTCCCTCCTTGTAAATCTCACATTTGATGATGGACCACAGGTTCTCAATGGGGTTCAGATCAGGTGAACAAGGAGGCCATGTCATTAGATTTTCTTCTTTTATACCCTTTCTTGCCAGCCACGCTGTGGAGTACTTGGACGCGTGTGATGGAGCATTGTCCTGCATGAAAATCATGTTTTTCTTGAAGGATGCAGACTTCTTCCTGTACCACTGCTTGAAGAAGGTGTCTTCCAGGAACTGGCAGTAGGACTGGGAGTTGAGCTTGACTCCATCCTCAACCCGAAAAGGCCCCACAAGCTCATTGTAACGGATCGCCTGGCACCCCGACTGGGTACCTCCGTTAAAGGATGCTCCTAGCGCTTCCTGAGGACTCCAAGCACTGCAGCAGACACCAAAACCACCGAACCGTAGGAGCATATGAATCAAGCATGAATGCTGTAGACAGTTGAATAGGAACCATACGAATAGGTTTACTCTCCTAGCAGTCAAACTGGAACAGCATACAATAAATCCTTCCCCCAATAATGAGACGACACTTCACTTTGAGGGTTAAAACAGGAACTCTCTGTACTGTCACATACAGTCTCTTTTATTCCCAATCCACAAACATAGTACAGCCCACAGGGCGTTACAAAACAACCAATCACATATCAGTTACATCCCACATATTCCCTCCCCTTATCCTGAGAGGAAACTCAATTACACATACAGTTAAAACATACTTTCTACCCAACTTTCATAACTCTAAAACCATACATCACATTCACATAAAATTACATATTCACAATCAATCCATTCAGGGGAACAACATATTAAAAAATGGCACGAATCAGACCAGGGGTTCAAAAGTTAAGGGAAAGTCCTTTGTGACTAAATGAAGCATGGCTTTCTGGCCCAAACCAGTTTCAGAGTCTTCTATCCTGGAGAGTAATTCAATTATCTCCCAGGACAGACACAAGACTCCATTAAGCACATGGTTGCAAAAAGACACAAAACACTTTAAAATACATAAAGTCACATTTACACATAACACACAGACATTTCACATATCCCCAGATAGCTGGGATCTGAGTGCACATTATTAGATGAATGGCACTCAGATCACACAAATAAGCCTTTCTGCAGGGGAAATAAACAGTTTAACCTGCAGGGCCATAGTCCAAAGGGAGCAGGCGAGCAACCAGGCTTCTCCAGTTCACAGTGGCGAGGTTGGTTTCGCCACACTCATCTTTGATGATACCAGCCCAAACAGGTACTCCACCTCCACCTTGCTGGCGTCTGAGTCGGACTGGAGCTCTCTGCCCTTTACCAATCCAGCCACGGGCCCATCCATCTGGCCTATCAAGACTCATTCTCATTTCATCAGTCCATAAAACCTTAGAAAAATCAGTCTTGAGATATTTCTTGGCCCAGTCTTGACGTTTCAGCTTGTGTGTCTTGTTCAGTGGTGGTCGTCTTTCAGCCTTTCTTACCTTGGCCATGTCTCTGAGTATTGCACACCTTGTGCTTTTGGGCACTCCAGTGATGTTGCAGCTCTGAAATATGGCCAAACTGGTGGCAAGTGGCATCGTGGCAGCTGCACGCTTGACTTTTCTCAGTTCATGGGCAGTTATTTTGCGCCTTGGTTTTTCCACACGCTTCTTGCGACCCTGTTGACTATTTTGAATGAAACGCTTGATTGTTCGATGATCACGCTTCAGAAGCTTTGCAATTTTAAGAGTGCTGCATCCCTCTGCAAGATATCTCACTATTTTTGACTTTTCTGAGCCTGTCAAGTCCTTCTTTTGACCCATTTTGCCAAAGTAAAGGAAGTTGCCTAATAATTATGCACACCTGATATAGGGTGTTGATGTCATTAGACCACACCCCTTCTCATTACAGAGATGCACATCACCTAATATGCTTAATTGGTAGTAGGCTTTCGAGCCTATACAGCTTGGAGTAAGACAACATGCATAAAGAGGATGATGTGGTCAAAATACTCATTTGCCTAATAATTCTGCACTCCCTGTATACACACCACATTCAGTCCTGCATCATTGTCAGCGGACTAGGTAGGGCGTGGGCGGGCCTGGGGGAAGTGAAAGGGAGGGGGCCCCAGACCTTGTGCTTTGTCAGGGGCCCCGAAGTTTCTGATGGTGGCCCTGCATATAGCAGCCAAGGAATTAAAATGAACCCCACCATGACATACAATTTGTAAAAGTAGTCAACCCAGGGTATTCAAAATGGGTTATGTCCAGTCTTTAGTAATACCCACTTAGCTACAAACGCTTGCCAAAGTTAGCATTCATATTTGTTTTTTTGCATATTTTTACACAAAAACTGCACTTTTTCTGGTGATCTCATATTTCTTATATTTCTGTTAAGTGAAGTCTCCCAGGTATAACAATACCCCCCATGTACAGGTTTTATGGTGTTTTGGAAAGTTACAGGGTCAATATAGGACTTGCCCAATTCAGTTTGCCAGATTGGTTTGCTGGGTCTATGTTGCCTTTTGAGACCATATGGTAGTCCAGGAATGTGAAATAACCCCATCATGACATACCATTTTCAAATGTAGACAACCCAGGGTATGCACAATGGGGTATTTCCAGTCTTTTGTAGTAGCCACTTAGGCCCGAACGCTGGCCAATGTTAGCGTTTTTGTTTGTTTTTTATAAATGTTTTTATCCATTATTTATATATATTGGAAGGCATGGCCTGAAGTTGTGGGATATAGACCTACTTAAGGGACTCCCCCTTCCCTTACTTACCTTCATTGGTCTAGATGAACAGCGTGATACTCGCCGGCCTTTTCCCTTCCGGCTTCCTGTTGCACTACGTCACTTCTGGTGAGAGGCGGCGCCTGTTTCAAACGTCACACTCCCCGGCACTACCGGCCCCCCAGCCTGACCGGCTCCACAGGCCGAACGGCTCCCCCAGCTCGACGGGGCGGTGAGCAGGGGGGAATTATTCACTGGGAAGCACAGGCACAGAGACTCCATTACCGTAGGAGTCCTTGTTCCCGCGGGCCGGCAACATTAAATAGATTGAGGGGGACGGTGGGC